CTCTCTCCCTATTTATTTCAAAACCCCCTTCCCCTCCCCCTTTTCTGATGAAGGGTCTAGGCCCGAAACGTCAGCCTCTCTGCTCCTATGATGCTGCTTGGCCTGCTGTGTTCATCCAGCCGTGCACCTTGTTGTCACCATACTAGGCTAACTGGACTTCAAATAAGCACTACAACTGGTGTTATCATTGGAAAATGCAGCAAGTGGAGCATGAGTTGAAAAGTATTCCAATGGAAGTGGACACCCTCACCAGGCCAAGTGAGCTTGGGGAACACCACTTGAGTGAATGCAATTGCATAGTCTCACTCAGGACATATCCTGAAGTGACTCTAGTTCAGCTCATAGCAAAGCCCCGAAACAAAGCCAAGCCTTGGTCAAATGGTTAAAATTTTCCTCAGGATCCCGGCCGATAAGCCAGTGAAGTGCTAATTAAATACCCTGAAGTTTTTCAGAAAGTTTAGGTAAAGTCAAAGGAGCCAAGACCATCTTGCATGTTGACCAGGAAGCAATTCCACAATTTTGCAAGGTCTGCCCAGTGCCGTTTGCCTTACAGGCAAAAGTACAGGCAGAAATCAGGAGGCAGGAAAGCGAAGGAATCATCAAACCAGGCCAGTTTGCGGAATGAGCATCACCGGTTGTACCAATTCTGTGTGAATCCTGACAAGTTGATTAGCCTTTGTGGGGATTTTAAACAAACAGTAAACTGCTTTACACTGCGGATAAATACCCAATTCTTTGCTTAGAGGATTTATATGCACTGAAGCTGGACATGAGCTATGCATGTTCGTGCTAATATGAGACTGCCATTTAGGATATTGTCAGCCTGTTCAATCTTTCCGCAGACGATGGAGAACCTTTTACGAGGTCAATCACAAGTCACCATTTATTTGGATGACAGTTACCTGCTAATAAGAGGAAAGACCAATAAGGAGTATTTACAGAACTTAGCCGTAGTCTTTACACGTTTTTTTGCAGGTGGACATACACCTTAGAAGGACACCCCAAGTGACCTACTTGGGTACAGAGTTGACAAGATCGGGTTACACCCATTGATAAATAAAGCGAGGGAATCCCACATCTGTACCGGAGCTCAGGTCTTTCCTTGGGCTGGTGAAATATTACAGAAAGTTTGTGCATAACCGAGCTTCCATCCTGGCAACTTTGCATCAACTGTTTAAAAAAGTCAGCCTTTTTGAAGGAAATGGTTGCATAGACCAGCCATAGCTTTCAGGGAATTGAAGAAATGGCTACAATCCTCCTAAGGTGTTGGCACATTATGATCCCAAGCAAAATCTGGCATTGACTTGTGATGCTTCCCTTACGGCATTGGGGTATTATTAGCACATAGGTGGCTCAATGGAGTGGAATGCCCAATAGTGTATGCATCCCGAAGTTTGACTAATGCAGAGCGTAAATACGCCCAGATGGAGAAGGAAAGTTTGGCAGTCATATTTAGAGTCAGGAAGTTCCACCAATACCTTTATGGATGTAAATTTGTGATAATAACAAACTACAAACCCCTGCTAGGTCTGCTGAAAGAAGACAAGGCAGTGTCGTCCATAGCTTCAGACCGAATTCAGCGGCAGGTTCTGATACTAAGTGCATATAATTACAAGGTAGAACACCAACTGAGAGGCCAAGTAGCAAATGCGGGTGCACTGAACTGCCTCCTACCAGTGCTATCACCACTGAAAGAGTCTGTAATGAACAGCTTTCCAGTCACAGCTGATGATATCAGACTTTGGACACACAAAGATCTGGTCCTGGCAAAACTGAAATAACTGGTGGTGATGGGGGAAACCAAAGGGTCATCTCAACTAGAATTGAAACCTTTTTGGACCTAGAGAGACCAGATCACAGAAGAGAATGGTATGTTATTATGGGGAGCTACAGATGGTCCTGAGCAAAGGTAACCAGCAGATACTAGTTAAACTCCACCAGGGTCATCCAGGGTATTCCAAAATGAAGTTGTTGGCAAGAAGTTATGTCTGATGGCCAGGACTGGATGCAGACATAGCCGCACTGGTGGGGCAGAGCCCAGAGTGCCAACACGGACAAAAATTATTGCCAGCAGCTGCCCCACATTTGTGGGAATGACCGGATAAACCCTGGATTTGATTACACATTGTCCATGCAGGTCCTTTCATGGGATCCGTGTTCTTAGTCACTGCGGATACCCACTCAAAGTGGCTGGATGTGCGTAGTCAAGCATGGGGACGACAACAGAAAAACTGTGTGCATCTTTTGCAATGCACAGACTCCTGGAAGTGTTCGTCACTGATAATGAGCCATCGTTTACCAGCAGGGAATTTGATTATTTCCTAAAAGTGAATTGCATTTGACATATAAGGACAGCTCCAAACCATCCATCGTCCAATGGTCTGACAGAACCAGCAGTCCAAACTTGAAGGCAGGCTTAGAGAAACAGCCCATACGTTCACTATATACCAAACTGTCCCAGTTTCTATTTGATTACAGAACCACCCCTTATGCAATTAGAGGGATAGCTCCAACAGAGTTGCCAATGGGGAGAAGACTCCACCAGGTTAAATCTACTCTTCCCAGATCTGGGGATGTTGGGGTGAAACAGCATCAGGAGTGCCAATGCTGGACACAGATATCCGCTAAGTGAGAGAGACAGTCAGAGGACAAAGTTCGTGTAGGAATCACGAGAATGGCCCTGGAAGGGTAAGAGGCATGATTATTGTGATATCAGGTCCAGTAATGTATAAAGTTCGGGTAGGTGCGATGGTCCTAAACAAGCACATTGACCATATGAAAGCTGCAAAACCACATCCAATAGGAGCAAAACGTGCCCGGCTCCTCGATAGCCTGTCCGACTTTTCTGGAACCTGTGGGTTCTCCCTCTCCGTCAAATGCCGATGATGCCTTGGATCCTGAGACGAACACAGTAGATGTTGCTGCCTCAATGCCTTTGCTGCCTGAAGAGATGAATTTCTTCCGAGGTGTTCCAAGCTACTGTGCGTCACAACCGCCAGTATCAGAGTTGGAGGAACCTAACCTAGTGCTAAAACGTCCCAGGAGCAGCTACAAAAAAAGAAACAGCCTATGTCCTCGGACTCTGAGGGAGAGGGATGTAGTGATTTGTAATGAGATCAGCCAGGTGAACCTCTTAGAAAATGAGTTCCCTGATTGGACCAGATTAACAGCCTCAATCAGGGAGCCCTGGTTGACAGATATAAACAGGAATGTCAGAGATGCTGTTCACTCTGAGAGCTGCCATTGAAGGAGCTAGATCAGTGTCAAGGACTTTCCACATGTAAATAAAAGGTGACTTGCCTCTCTGGAATTACTTTGAAAGGTTAGGGGTGCCGAGAGGGCAGGAGTGCAGAACCTCAGCATTAACAACTGCCCATCAGCTTTGAGGTACTTTGAACTTGTTTGGATGAGAGTGAAATTTCCAGGATGGATAAGCTAACTGATTATGGTACTGTAGTATGGGAAGCATCGTGTGTGTGTGTGTGTGTGTGTGTGTGTGTGCGCGTGTGCGTGGAGAGGGGAAGGAATGGAATATAGTGGTATAGGGGACAACATGGTGAGAATTGTCACTGTTCCCTGCAGTAAAAAGTCTGAGTGTGTTGCCTTGGAACTTTGTAGCTTAGGGCTGCAGAGGAATTTGCAATGAGACATTGAGGTTGCTGTGTGGTTCACACAGGGTCTTTTTGACCTGCTGACATCATTGATACCTGTGAGGACTTGGATCTCATATTAAGAAGCAGAATCTTAAAAATAATAACCACACAGTTCTGAGGAAGGGTCACTGGACCCAAAACATGAACTCTGTTTTTTCCTTCACAGATGCTGCCAGACCTGCTGGGCTTTTCCAGCAACTTTGTTTTTGTTCCTGATTTACAGCATCTGCAGTTCTTTTGGTTTTTACTTAAAAATAATTTTTAGATCAGTACTTCAGCCATGTACTAATTGTCAAAGGGAAGATAACCCCCACTTCCTACCTACTAGCCTCATCCCTGCCTCCTTGACCTGTCTGTCTTCCCTCCCACCTACCTGCCCCTCCCTCCCCACTGACCAACCCACATCCCAGCTCCCTACCTACACTCACCTGTACTGGCTTCATCCCTGCCTCCTTGACCTGTCCGTCTTCTCTCCATCTATCTGCTCCTCTATCCACCTTCCATCATCGCCTCCCCCTCTCTATTTATTTTAGA